GAGGCAAAAGGCAGGCAGAGCCTGCGTGGTGCGGACTCCGACTGAAACAGTTCTAGGCTTCGCCTGCTCGACAGTTTGAGGCTGCTGTGTTGGGAGTCACGAACCGTTCGGTGGCTGAGAGTGGCAGAGTTGGATGTCGGCAGTCGGCAGTGTAGGGTCCGACATTCTGTGCACAATGTCGGGGTACTCCCCTGTAAGACACCACGACCCTTCAGTGTATACCGCTAAATTTCAGGATTCCCTAAGGACCACAGCAGGGACCATAGCATGCCGAATCTCGCGAAAGGCGGGGGCGCGGCGCCCTGCCTGTTAGCGCTGCCCTGCTGCACGTGGTACCCACTTGCAGACACATGCTGGAGGTAGGAAGGGTTTCGGGTCGAAGGGTTTTGGCGGTTGTCAGCTTCTGATGCCCAATCTTTGTCTCCTTTCGACCCTTGGGTAGAACTTTCGTTCTCATCTTGTCATGCTTCGTCTGGTCGCCGCAGTATCAAACCGCTCTGCCAGGGAAGGCAGGACAGCTCCAACATCCAAAACCGCGGTGGAGCGTTCATCTCGAGCGACAGACTGAAGGCAGCCTTGCTCATGCTTCGCGGTGAGGATGCGATCTAAAGTAACCAAAACCAACTGCCCATAGCACGAAGCAGAGTGTGAAGATAACGTGCATAAACACAGCATGGCATCTCCGGATACAGGGGTGTGGAATGTCCGTTGGGGGCTTTTTCCTTGTTTGTTAGCAACGTCAGGCGCAGGTTCTCTTTTCGAGCACTCAATCCTAAATGCTGAGCCCTGAACTCTGAACTCTATAGGACCTACCTGCACTAAGCTTGAATCTCCGAAGCCCTAAGTCAGACTTAACCTGCAATGGAGCAAAACCAATGAGGCCTGTGAAAGAGGGCCAGCGCGAAGGATGGGTTTAAGGTTCTAGGGCTTGGGAAAACGAAAAACTTGAACGGAGTCTCGGGGTCAACAGGACACGCACCGGACCTTAAGCTTTAGGGTTTGGGGTTATGAGGCACAATGGAAAGAAAGTTCAAAGCCACAGAAACCGTACTGAAACCTGCAACAACTCAAGAACCCGACATCTAAGCCACATCCTGGCAATGCCTCTGTGCTTTTTTGATATTTGGACCACCCGCGCCCGAACTCCCCACGTCAAAACAGCTCCACATCGTGCCACATGCCCTTCCAACAACCCGACTGCCAAGAAAAAACAATCCAAACCACACTAACCGCCCACATGTTTATCAAACCATCCTGGTCCTGGGCCCTTTGCAGCCCTATAGCGCAAACCTACATCTTTCGGTCGGTGGGCCTTCTGAGCCCTAAACCCCGAAACGTAAACCCTAACCCCTAAACCCTACAACCTAAACCCTGAGCACTAAGCCCTACGAAGCCAACCCGAGAACCGCCTCCTGAAACGATAGTCCAAGCGTGAAAGCGTGAAACAACACCCGAAGCGGCAAACCCCTTTTAGGGGTTCCTTTTGGGATTACCATAAGGGGCTCCTGTGAGGGTTACTCCGTCTAAGCACCTCCCCTAAGCAAACACCAGAGAAGCTCCGACAGAAGGGTTACCGTAAGGGGTTCCGACTAAGATTACTGTAATTAAGGGGTTCCTGTTAGGATACGATAAAGCTTTACTATAACGGATCCCGACTACGGTTCCTACTAGTAAGTAAGTACTCGGGTTACTATGGACACCCTAAACCCTAAGCCTAAAACCCTACGATACCGTTCTGGGCGTTCCGCTGAAGATGTGCCGGGTCGGGCCCGAGAGCTCCATCATCATGGTGTCCAGGCCCTCGACGCCTCCCCGGTGTCGGCTTTCTTGGGGCCTTCATAATTAGAATAGGGTTTTGGTGCCCATTATACTAGAATCGTAGTAACGAGCCCCCGAAATAGTATAGGTGATGATTAGGGCCCCTATGTTAGAACTCTTTACAGTTTGGGGTTTAGGGGGGAAGGTGTTGGTGGCTTGAGACTTAAGACCCTGTGCGGGGAGCCTCGCTGGCGGTATTCCAGACCATCAATCATCAACACGTCGGTGTGAGGCGTCGTGTTGACAATATTGCTCAGGAACCTCCGCACGGGGAAGCAGCTGGCTAGTTGCCTTCGCAGGTCAACCCCGGGGACCATAAACCCTCGGCAGCTCAAAACCCCGAAGCCCTACACCTACAAGCACAAGGTTGAAACGGGCAACGTCAGCATCACAAATTACTGCAAATGAATGTATGCACGAACGTGCGTGCAAGACAGAGAGATAGGGAGGCAGATCGAGAGAAAGAGAAGAGGAACGGGACAAGAAAAGAGAGGGAGCAAGAGAGGCCACATGCTGATCTATTCATCTGCCTGTCCGTCTACCTCTTCCGGATCTTTACATGCATACTTACATATGCACATGTTGGTTGTGGTGAACTTTCTACTCCTGGTAGTGCTGTATTGCATAGAATATCTGTAGCGAGGCGTAGCCTGGTCCGACTACACATGCGTGGTTGTCAAAAACTGGGTCCCTTTTTGGGGTCCCTATTATAGTACGGCACCTAATATTTAGGGTTCCCAAAAAGGGACCATAATTTTGACAACCACCCACATGAATTGTGCAAGGCGTGATTCTCATGCGTCTGCGCCTATTCTTGAGCTGTGTCATGATGGGGACATGATGACGACGATGATGACGATGGTGATGATGATGATGATGATGATGATGATTGGCGATGGTGATGATGATTATAGTGATGGTGATGATGGTGTGGGTGATGGTGGTCATGCTGGTGATGGCGATGAAGAAGATGACGATGACGAGGATCATGATTAGGACGGTGACGATGATGATGATGGTGATGATGATGTGAGCGGTTCAATCATGGTCATGGTGATGCTGACGGTGATGGTGACGATGATAATGATGATGACGTCCTAAGCCCTACAACCCTGAAATACATACAAGACCCAACACCCCACACACACACACGCACACGCAGACAAACAAACCCCCACACACACACACACACACAAACACAACGGCCTTTCATGCCAGCTCAACACCGCAAAACCTTAAAGTTCTTAAAGCCGCGAGGTCATGCTCGCTGCTGCTCCCGCACCCCACATGCTGGACAAGACTCTCTGGGAAGCCCTGCCGTAATTTTAGGAACGAAGTCTTAGCTGAGGGATTTTGGAACCTCTTGAAACCTTCTTGCCGATATCGTGAGCTCAACATCCAACATGCAAGGACCCCCGTTCCCAAGCGCACGAAGTGCAAGACCACCGATCATTTGGCCGTGTGTCGCAGATGACCTGCAGGATGTCAAGTTTAGTCGAGCATCCAGGTTTAGGATGTTTGGGATTTAGGGTTCAGGGCATTGGGATGTAGGATACCCTTGTTCAGCAATTTAAACTTTCGATGAGACGTTCCAACATAGATGTGAGGTACAGTACGGTCGTGAGCATCGGGTGTTCATGAATCCTGCAGCAAGCATGGCAAATCTGAGTGCTGGCAGAGCGCGCTCTCTGGACAGATTTTATGTCTGTGTCCAGAAATTTTGTCTGCGCAACAAGCGCGTCGCTATAGACACAGTACAGTTGGGGTTTGTATCCGAATAGCCTAGGGCCTCAAGAAGTTTAGGGAGCGTTTGGGAATTCAGCATGTTTGAATAACAGGCTTCTGGGTTACATCCTGACGCTCAAAGCTGAAAACTTGCAAAGCTCACAATTGATTTCCAGAGGGGAGTTCTTAATGTGGACATAAACCTTCAATCTTGGCTCCGGGTACAAGGATTTGGTTTTGGAGTTCGGGAGATGTGTCCGGGGTCCTTCAGAAAACCTAGTTGGAAGCTCACCTTCGGATCGTTATTCTCGGAGCACACGTGGAAGCCGCCGTGCTTCTCTGCCTCCTGAGGCTTGCAGCAGCCCTACCGGCGAAATATTTCAGTTCTGGGGCTGGGAATACACAATGATGTCTGTTGCATGTTGGTCTAGACGGTTCTGTATTGCCTGTCTGATGCTGTACGATATGGCAAAGGCTACGTGTGAATCTTGAATCCTGGACCCTAGGCCCCGAAACCTCTGCACCGAACCCTCAGCTGACTCCCTTACTTGTCCAGCTTGCTTAGGGAACTAGGGGCTAGCCGCTAGCCTTCAGCATTACACAAGCATAATGGTATTGTAGCTATTATAAATACGGTTCAAACGTGCCTACTCCACCTGGATCGACCATAAACCCCAACCCCGAGACGCCAAGATCCTCAATGTCAAGGCTGTCAAAGAAATCCGGGGCCTTAGTCATTAGAATAGGGTGTTACGGTATACTATACTGTACTTATATGGGGACTGTAAGGGGATACTATTAGTCAGCATTCCGACCCATATGTTACGTTGAATCCTGCATCCGAAGCTGCGACGCACTCCCGGACATCCGGCGACTTCTTTCGCCCTAGATATCATCCGACTACTTACTTTGTCCAACCTCCTACTGGAACTGAAGCCTTGCCGTACCTCGCAAAACGGCTCTCAACGAACGGTAGAAAATGGCCTACTTTAATACTCAGACTAGGGCTTTTCTCTCTAGGGCTGCTTCCTTGTGGACTTGAGCGGCTCATTTCAACTCATGAGATTAAACGGGGTTTAGGGCTTTTAGTTTGGGGAAGAAGTGCTCGCCGAATTTCGGAAGCATGCACGAGTTCAAGCTTCCGAAACCCAAGACCTCGCACTTGAAAGCACGCGGCTACGAAACCGAACGCCGAAGCCTCCGTGCACCCTGTGATGCGTGTAGTGGTTTCGAAAAAGCCGTTCATCAGTCAAACTACCTTGAACCACAACAAACAATGAGTTCAGCGAACATTAAAGTGTATGTAACGCCGGGACCACAATAATTGGAATAGGTCTTGGGGGGATTCCATATTACAACCTTATAGTATATATACCCCCAAACCCTATTCTGACTACAGCGGGCAGTCCGGGCGTTGCAGTCCAGCTTTGTGCAAGTACCGTGAGACCACGTGCCACTCAGGCTTTAGCCATGCCGCCTTTGCGGGCCACGACGTCCCGGCAGGTTTTGCGAAAACTGCCGGCGATGCGTGCTGCCACATCCTGGGCTGTCTTCGACGCCAGCATGTTGCGAATGCGCAGCTTGAAAGCTGCCTTGCCTGGAGGCGGCCGTCGCTTACGCAGATCCTCACGGTCCTTCTGTCTGATGCGTCTCCGTAACCACGCCCACATCTTCTCCACTGGGTTCAGGTCGGGCGAGGAGGGAGGCACACGCCACGCTGAAAGTCCTTCGGCCGCCATCGCGCTTCGGCACTTCGGGATGCGGCAGTGCGAAGAAACTTCTCGTTGTCGCAGAGCACCTTCCAGGGTCCGTGCTTCGTGACAAGGTCTAACGCTTGGATGGCACGCCTCAGGCGGCCGGCCCGGACAAGTCCACACCACGCAGTCGTGGCGAGCTTTCGAGAAGCATGGAACGTCACGACGGCAAAACCGCCTTCGGAGAGGCCGCCCCAGAGTGGAAGGACACGGTCCATGGGAACTTGCTGCGCGTACGGCTGCTGCCCAGCCAAAGCCTCCGTGTAAGCCTCGCCACGTCGTCGCCACAGATGTGTCTCGCCTTGGGCGATGTAGTTCTCCCGATCTGTCGCATTCTTTGGCGGGACCGAGAGAATGACCCCATCCATGGCGAAGGAGAGTTTCTCGCGAAGCTGTGCCTGCGTCAGCCGCAAAACGGCCTTTGCGAAGCGGAGGCGCTCCAGCTTCTGCTTGCCACTGTACTTGCCCTTCTGCGTGCGCGGGAGCCAGTGGTACCCGTGCTTGCGAAGTACCTGTCGCACCGTGGACTCGTCGAGGTCCGCATGCCACGGAGCACCTCTCGGCGCAGCGTGGCAGCCGTGCAGACAGACACGAGCCGCAAGGCCAGAAGCCGCTTGATGAGGAACTTCTCAACTGCCACAGAGACCTTGAAGGGCTTCCGCCCACACTTGTCGTACTGGTACTGCCGGCGCCCGGCCCGGTGGTTGAAGGCCTTGTGCACACGCTGTACCAACGACAGGCTCGGAGCCTCACCTTGCAAGTTGACTACTTGCCAGCAGATGTCCGCCCAATGGCAACCTTGCGCCATGCACATCACGCAAGTTCAGGACCTTGCACTCGATCGCAAAGTCGAGGGACTTGGGATGTCGCACCTCTGTGACGACAGGCATGCTGCAGATGGCTGCGGCAGGCAACGAGGTCCTTTGGTCGGAAGTCTTGCAACAGGCAAGCAGACGGCTACCTAGCCAGCAAGTATGCTCGCGTCGGCAACAGAGACGCTAGACCTGGCCAGCATGGCTGCTCTGGTCGGCAACAAGGACGCCACTTGGCCAGTACATGGATGCTCGGGTCGGCAACAAAGACGCCACCTGGCCAGCACTCAGCACAGGGATGCTCTAGGTCGGCAGCACAGACGCCACCTGGCCAGCATGGATGCTCAGGAAAAGTTTCAGCTAGCTGTGGTTTGAGAAAGAAGCTTGAAGTCTAGCACCATGTCTACCGCAACAACACTCCAACCCGTTGCACACAGGCACTTTTCCGGCGGAGCCGAGCTTGTGAATTGGCTTAGGTGATACAGAAGTCTGGGCCGAGAACCTCAGGAAACTTGGCAACGACGCGGTTGCTCTCTAGCTTCAACCAGTCATGGCTCTCGAGGTACGCTAGGTTGCGGGTGCTGTAGTTCACCGTCACCACGATCGGCACTGCAAACAAGTACTTCTTGTAAGCACACGTGCCTCCTGGCGTCGTCGCGAACTCGACCTGAACATCGCATTTGCCTTGCAGCTTGTCCTGCTGCTGGCTAAGAAGTCCAGGTCGCGAACGTCGTCCAGGATGATGCCATCGTGGAAGCTCCTGTCGAAAGCACGCATCGACTCAGGAAAGACTTGGAGACTCCCGACTTTCAGCTCGAGCGGCTGCTTGAAGAGGGACTTGGCCCACTGCGTCTTTCCTGAGTGCGATGCCCCCAAGACGACAAGCACAGGGTAGCGCAGCCGATCTTCTTGGAAGCCAGCCAGCCACTCCTCAGCCAGAGGAACCAGAGGAAAGGGGCGGTAGACAGCAGGGTTGCCCTTCAAGCGACGCTTGTTCGTCCATGACCTCCGCCTCTGCCACCGCTGCTTCGTCCTCCTTCACCGCCTCGAGGTTGCGCTTGCGAGCTAACACACCATCACGAGCCAGAAACAAATACTCTTCGTACTGTCCTGTCTCCAACTTGCGTTGCTTCCATAAGGTTTCTGGCCATTTACCGAGAACCTGGTATGTCCTCTCTGCTGCGGTCCAGCACGGGGCGTAGTTGCCTGCCACGCAGAGGCGCCCGTCATCCAAGTGAACGGTGCCGCACTTGTTGGCCCAAACATAGAACATGCCGCGGTCGATGGACTGCTGCATCTTCTTCTTACCAAGGCCCTCGCCCAAGTAGTCATGCGAGCTGACATTGGGTCGCTTGCCGTCGAAGATGAAGCGGCGTGCTGGGCGGTCCACCGGCGCCCTGAACTGAAGCATCAGATGCACATGGTGCGTGCCCGCTGCGTTGGACTCCATGGTCGCGGTCCAGTGCTTCACGCCCCAAGTCTCCACGTGCTCGGCGACGAAGTTGCAGAAAGCTACCCATGTGGCAGCACCAAGAGCAGACGGCCAGCTCTGGTAGGTCAGCAACACAGCCGTGGCGTGCACGCGACAAGTGCTGCTGTCCACCAGGACACCCGTGTGCAGAGGAGCTGCGGCTGGCCTTCTCATCGGCCGGTGTGCAGGCTGCCCTGGGTGGCACTAGTACATATGTTGAGTTAAACATAGTGTGGCGAACTTTCGTCCTGCGGTAGTATTAATGCCTTTATACTATAGTAGCTTTGTTAATGCCTTTATACTATAGTAGCTGTATAGATCGCTTAGAGTAGCCTTTAAAGACCCCTTTAAAGGAACCGTACTCTCATGATTTAAGCCCCTACATTATAACCTTGTAATAGCCCGTATAGTAGCCCTTATAGTAGCCCTTATAGACCCCTTTAAAGGAACTCTATGCTTCAGGAGTCCGGGGGGAGGGGAGCTGCAATGGTGCCCGGAAGCCCCGCGCAAAGACAGGAGCACCTCGGGTCCGCCCCGCACCCCAAACCGAAAAGGATTCCTGAACTTACCTTTGGTTAGTAGGGAATGGAAGAATGGTAGTAATAGTAGTTATAATTGTACCCCATTCCTCCATTCCATACTAGCCAAAGGTAAGTGAACTGGGCTTAGGGCTTATAGGTCTATTTCCGACTGTGAAGCAGTAAGTTTGCGTAATCATCTCAAGTCCTTGTAGGAATAGCACGACGGGAGAGTGGGCGGCTGGCAAGTAGCAAACCTGGGCGACTGGTCCAAGGTTTGGGGTTTGCAGTTTGGGGACTAAGGATCACACGGATAAGGATTTACAGCACTGGAATTAGGGTGTATAGCACTCTGGGGTTCAGGGCTTAGGGCTTAAAAGGCTTTGGATACGGGCAGAAGTGCAGGGTTCAGGGTTGGGTTGAATGCCATACTCCACAGCATGCTAGCAACAATCATTTTGCCGAGTCGATGTGAGTGTGAACACCAACAGTGATACTAGCTAGTTTGCATCTGAAAAGCTGTCATTGCCACGCTGCTTCTGTTTGTCACCGATAGTGACTAGCACAAACTCATCAATGACACTGCCACTGGCAGTACTAACGCCGCTTCCATGATTCTGCCCAATTGCAACCGCCACTATCTTTGTCATAACTGTCAGCATTGTTGGTCGCTGGTGCTGTTCAATTTGCTTGCTTCACACTGATGCTGATGAGGAGGCACAGGGAGAGGAGGAGGAGGACTGGTAATTCTAGCTGTTCTCACTACCTTTCTCGTGGATACAGCTTCCATAATGGCATCGCTTTGTTTTCAGATGATCTACAGTGCCCTCAACCGGCTCAAGATCCCTGAAAAGCACCTAGATATAAAGCTTTGGCTGTCTCTGTGCGATGCTGCGTCCCCTACACCCGACATGGAAGATGTGAGAGAAACCGATGACATCGGATTGCGGCTGCTTCCTGCAGAGCTTCGTTCAGGCTTCAGGCTTTACATTTTTCGAGGATAGGGTGTTGGGGAAGGCTGACGGAGCCGCAATCCGAACAGTAGGCAGCATGCTTCACCCTCCCTGAAGACCGACCCTCCATGACTTTGGCCGGCAGCTGCTCACAGATGGGAAGGTCTGAGGCAAGACACAGGTCTTGCTCTATGATGGCTGCTCTGGTGGTCTTCTTGCAGGGATCCAAGTGTAGCCCATGAAACCCTCGACTCGAAAATCCTGCACAGCTGCACTTATGATCCTGAGTTCAGGGTTTAGGGTTTTGGGGTTAGAGTTTAGGGTTTAGGGTTTAGAGTTTAGGGTTTAGGGTTCGAAGATCCGGCCCAGTGGCTCCTTCATGAAGACCACGGCGTAGGCAGAGGAGGCATCGAAGACCAACTGGAGCCTCGTCATGGCGCTGTGGCAGACCACCGGGATTCCGAAGAAAGCCCTCAAAAAAGGCCCGCGAACCATAAACGCTAAACCCCGAGTGCTAAGCCCGAAAGGCTGCAACTAATCCCAGAACAGCTGAGAAGCCCTAGTACAACAGAGCGGTTTGCCCACGAAACCAAAAGTTGCCATGTCTGAAACCCTCAACACACCCAGGAGACTCATCTCTGCAATTCATAGCGGAACTTGTGTGGTACGTCATGTTACAACTTGACAAAGGGGAGCTAGATTGTGTAGCCGCTGCTCAAGCTCATGCATGACATCTTGCACTGTCCCCACAATGCCCCGCAACGCCCCAGAAACATCCCGAAAGGAACGCCGCTATCGCCCCCCACAATAATGTTACAAACAAACCCTCAGCCCTAGAGACTAGCTATTCACCAAAAGACAGCTAGCTAGAGATATTCTCAGGCTCTGGAAGTTTCTGGCTCTGAGGCCCCTTGTTCACGACAGAGCTCAAACGAGTAGCAACAACTTTCCGCAGCCTCAAGCTTGCAAGGGTCTAAAGGGCAGACAACGCCTGAAACGGTTTAGGATCCATGTTCTCCAAGGATAGTGGCATCTTTTCCACCTGAGTGTGTCAGTGCCTGGATGACGATGATGACGATGATCTTGATGGTGATGATGACGGTGATGTGATGATGGTGATGATGACGGTGATAGTGCAGATGTTGTTGTTGTTGATGATGATGATGATGGTCATGATGACGACTCATCTGACCATAATGGTGGCCATTTCAAACGATGATGATGATGGTGATGATGACGATAAGACGGTGATGACGATGATGACGACGATCATGATGGTGAGGTCAACGGTGATGATGATGGCGATGATGATAGTGATGGTGATGATGATGATGATGATTGATGATGTTGTTGCCGATGGTGAGGACGAAGAGGAGGAGGAAGCGAAGGAGGAGGAGGAGGAGGAGGAGGAGGAGGAATCCGGGAGGGGAAAGAGGAAGAGGATCATAGGAACCATGCTGACTATTATGTTTGCAGCGACCTGTGAATTTGTGAATGCTCATGATGGTCATTGTTTCAGTGACGTCGATGGGCCGCACCCACAGGTCTTCTCGTAGATACCGAATGGACAGCTGATCGCCCTTGAGTAGCGAACCACTGTCCGCCAATGGAGACGTTGACCACGGGCTGCAACGCCTCTGTACCAGAGTCCCACATGATCCAACAGAGAGTTTGGGGTTCGGGTTTCAGGCTTTCGGGAGAGGCGTATATAGACTGATCATAGTATAATGGGCCCCAAAACCCTGTTCTGATTGTTAAGGCCCCTGTAGTAGACTCAGATCCCTGAGTGGAGGACTCCCAAAGAACTTGACGCAGGAGCCTTCGCGGATAACTCACCAGGACTACTCACTCTTACTTACCGTCTTCCTGCTGTGGCCTTGGCAGCTGCATAGGAATCATAGGTAATAGAGGGGCCTTGATAGCTAGAATCGGGCTTTGGGGTATTGCACGAGAATCATAATAAGGAACCCCTAGAATAGTATCGAAAAATGATTAGGACCCTATATTACGGCCCACCTCGGAGGCTCAGGGTGGAAAGTAGGAAAAACAGCGTTGAGGGTTTAGGGTTCACTATTTGGGCTAACAACCTGACCTCCCATTCGCAGACCGAAACGGCATGGGTGTCCGTTCCTGCACGGCTGATGGTGCTGTGCTGATTCACACGGCCGCAACCCAAAACTTCTTGGAAGAACTGGGCTCAGCCTACAATTGGAACCGGAAGCCCGAAAAGCTCAAAGCCCTAAACCTTCAAACCGAAGCCCACACTCCAACCCTGAAAGCATACTGTAACCTCTGATCCATCCGAAGTCACAGCAACCCAATTACAGGAAGCGTTCGTCGACCATCCCAGGACCATCCCCGAGTCCCCAAACCCTTCAATGAAGGCTTCAAGTCCAAGATGTCTTTGCTTCTGGGCTTCTGGGCTTGGGGATCCGGGTTTGGAGTTTCGTGTCTTGGGTGTAGCACTGAAGTCGAGGTCATGCTCATCACGAAGGTGGTCACGAGAATGGAAAGTCGATGTGAGAGTTCAGGCAAGATTAAGAACAGAAGTGCTCGAGGAATGTGATATCCAGTAGTAACGGCCATGGCCCATCACCCTCGTCATCAAACATCACCACCATCGCCAACATTCTCAGCATCACAACATTAACGAGAGCAAGGTTTGTAGTGGCTGCCAGCCCTAAACCCTCAACCCTTCAGATACCACAGGGGCCTTAATAATTAGAATAGGGTTCTTGGGCCCATTATAACCCTAAACCCTGGGATCAATTCATGAGCTCAGAGGTTCTGGGATCGTCTCTTGAAGGTTGCAGGATGCTTCCCCCACATTCCTAGGCCCTACGGGCCTTGCCCCCAAGCGCTGAAGCGCTTGAAAAGCTAAGCCCCAGCTTCAAACGCTGGCACCCCAAAACCTACACCTTGTCATATCATATCTTATCACACCATGATTTATCATAAAGCTTTCATATCAGAAACTATGAAACCCTTCTTTTGCCTTAAGCTTTGACACTCACTGGGCTTCCCACCGGACTGTATTCCACCAGCAGAGTCCATGCTGGATTCCACCTACACCACCGAGAAGCTCTAACCATACGGACCCATGGGGGATAACTAGTTGGGGGATAACTAGTTCATGGTCTGGATAGTGTTAAACATTTACATGTTTGGTCCTTATTGGGTTTAGGTACCGATAAACATGTCAAGTTTTAGCCAACCATGACAAAGATAAGGGGAGGGTGTTTAGTCCCCTAATACTTCTTTGCATGCTCCTTGATCGACCCAGATCCCGTCCTCATTAGGTCTACGGCTGCAGGGCTGAATAAGGTCTGTCGGGGTTTCGGGCTTGGCACGATGAATCCGCACATCTTCGCTATTCGTACCTCTTTACCAACGATGATGGTAGGCACAAAGAGCGCACTTGACTAAACACTTGGTGGCTCGTTTAATTACGCAGATAGAGCATGACAGTTCGGGCAGAAATTCAATGATGAGGGTACAACGCAGGCCAAAGCACCCTGCCCATCAACCAGGCAAAACCCCAAGCCCTCCGAACCCCACAACGCGTCTTGCAATCCCGCTCGCGGAAACCGAGACCTAGGTGGACTGTCAACGCCAGGCAATCAAACCTGAACCGTAGACAACCCCCCCCGCCCTTCGAAAGAGGAACTTCCACCATGCTACAGGCCGTTCGCAAAACGACTCAACCCCTAAAGCCCTGAAAAGCGGGGAGTCACAAGCAACCGATGCAAGGCGAGGGAGGGCAAGGCTGATTCCGACACAAGTGGAGCTTGTCCGGCAGTCGCTTATGCAACACTGTTGTGTTGCTATGCAGCTTGGCAACGAAAAACTGAACTCTTGAAACGAATCCAGACAGGGCTGGAACGGCACCGTCCCAGTACCAACAGTCTCTGGCCAAGGAGGTCACCATTGAAAGCGTGAGAAGCTGCCGAGCAGTCGAGCCGTTTGAATTATGCCTGCTTTCCTGCTTCATTACGAACACCATACTATAGAGGCCTAAATAACTACCTCTACTATTTTGGGGGTTCCTTATTATAATCATGGTATGATGGGCCCAGCACCCTGTTCAAATTATTAAGGCCCCTATATTACCCTAATCTCTAAACCCTGGCTGGCGAATAAGCTCGTGGCCGAAGGTCTGCCGAAGCTCTGCACGGGAGTATACGGTAACTGGCATGAAACTTTTCTTCAGATAGCAGGCTTTCGTGTCATCACGACACTATAGGGCTCAATGCAATGAAATCTACAACTTCATCTTACACCACATCGCATAACAGTGGCATGTTCAGTCCTTGGTTGCAGTTTTACGGCCCGTTGCATGAGCAGGTATGTCCTTAAGACCACACAGGAAATTAACAAGTATGCCGAAGTCCTAAGTGCCACTAAGAATCCAGCAATCTCCTTCTTCTGCTGAGCCAAAACATGCTTGACGATGATGCCCACACCGAAAAGAATGAGCGACATCAACCAGATTGCCTCCAGCAAGGGCAACGGCTGCATCTTCTCCGTCTCGGAGTCCGATGCGGCCAGGGCGTCAATCACGGCGGAGTTTCCACTTTTTCGCTCTTTCTCACAGAACTCCTGTGAGGTAGTGTCGGTGAACATGTACCTAACGCACATGTATACGGCCTTCATGCAAACTTCGGCCGCAGCTTCTGGAAGCAATTTGCTGTCTGCCGGTCGAAACAGAAAGAGGGGCCACACCTTCTCTCAGACGGATCGTCATTGCGGAAGTCGGACATCTGTCCTTCCAAGTCCCCGACAGCGGATGCGGCAAGGAGGAACAGCAGAACCAGTCTTGCCATGGCTACTAAGTCGTCAAACAACACAGGCTAAACCCGGGTGTCTTTCACGATTTCAGGTCCTTCAGCCCAAGTGGCCAGCCGGGTTTCGGAACATGCTTCGTTTCCCTGGGCTTGGGAGCTTCGTCCATTGGAAAAATGCGCCGCGAACAGCTGTACACATCAGAACCTGCACGTTGGATTTCTGATGTCAGCCTACATATCATATATCCCCCGCACTACATGTCTGTGTACAAAACAGTAATTATGGGGTCTTTGCGTACACATGTACACACCCTGAGGAAAGTTAGAGGCTTCCGGGCTTTCGATTTGGCAAGGCAGGGGTTGCGGGTGGCGGGGCACACTTGGCAAAATATTTGCTGGCATGGTCGCGTAGACAGAGCATAAAAGTTTGGGCAGTGTAGAGCCTCAGCATTTAAACGGGTACTAGTAACACAGGTACTTCGGCTACTACCCAAGCGCTCTCCCAAGCCTGCCGAACCCCCTCAACGTGTCTTGCAATCCCACGCCCGGAATTGCGCCTGAAACCTCAATGGACTGTCAACGCCAGGCAATCAAACCTGAACCGTAGACAACGCCCCCCGCCCTCACAGAGGAACTTCCACCATGCTACAGGCCGTTCACAAAACGACTCAACCCCTAAAGCCCTGAAACGGGGGGAGTCACAAGCAACCGATGCAAGGCGAGGGAAGGCAAGGCTGATTCCGACACAAGTGGAGCTTGTCCGGCAGTGGCTTATGCAACACTGTTGTGTTGCTATGCAACTTGGCAAAGAAAAACTGAACTCTTGAAACGAATCCAGACAGGCTGGAACGGCACCGTCCCAGTACCAACAGTCTCTGGCCAAGGAGGTCACCATTGAAAGCGTGAGAAGCTGCCGAGCAGTCGAGCCGTTTGAATTATGCCTGCTTTCCTGCTTCATTACTAACAACATACTATAGGGGCCTATAAATAATTACCTCTACATTTTGGGGGTTCCTCATTATAATCATGGTATGATGGGCCCCAGCACCCTGTTCAAATTATTAAGGCCCCTATATCACCCTAATCTCTAAACCCTGGCTGGCGAATAAGCTCGTGGCCGAAGGTCTGCCGAAGCTCTGCACGGGAGTACACGGTAACTGGCATGAAACTTTTCTTCAGATAGCAGGCTTTCGTGTCATCACGACACTATAGGGCTCAATGCAATGAAATCTACAACTTCATCTTACACCACATCGCATAACAGTGGCATGTTCAGTCCTTGGTTGCAGTTTTACGGCCCGTTGCATGAGCAGGTATGTCCTTAAGACCACAAAGGAAATTAACAAGTATGCCGAAGTCCTAAGTGCCACTAAGAATCCAGCAATCTCCTTCTTCTGCTGAGCCAAAACATGCTTGACGATGATGCCCACACCGAAAAGAATGAGCGACATCAACCAGATTGCCTCCAGCAAGGGCAACGGCTGCATCTTCTCCGTCTCGGAGTCCGATGCGGCCAGGGCGTCAATCACGGCGGAGTTTCCACTTTTTCGCTCTTTCTCACAGAACTCCTGTGAGGTAGTGTCGGTGAACATGTACCTAACGCACATGTATACGGCCTTCATGCAAACTTCAGCCGGCAGCTTCTGGAAGCAATTTGCTGTCTGCCGGTCGAAACAGAAAGAGGGGCCACACCTTCTCTCAGACGGATCGTCATTGCGGAAGTCGGACATCTGTCCTTCCAAGTCCCCGACAGCGGATGCGGCAAGGAGGAACAGCAGAACCAGTCTTGCCATGGCTACTAAGTCGTCAAACAACACAGGCTAAACCCGGGTGTCTTTCACGATTTCAGGTCCTTCAGCCCAAGTGGCCAGCCGGGTTTCGGAACATGCTTCGTTTCCCTGAGCTTGGGAGCTTCGTCCATTGGAAAAAAATTGCCCCAGGAACAGCTGTGCTCATCCCCTTTCCAAAAGCTGGTGTGAGCTGGGTTCCCCGACGTGCCCTGCCCCTCGCGGACTTCGGTCGCTGTGATGTTAAAAGCCTCAAAGGGGTGAAGGGAAGACAGGTTGCGGCGAATAGGGCTCGGGGGTGCTAGTTGCCGGATTGGGCACTTCTGGTCGATTGGCCTAAAGTTGCATGAGCTGCGGACGTTTATGGATTGAGGCTTGGCGCTTGCAGACTCACAGAACTGAACTGAACCGTGTTAAGGGATTTAGGGTTTAGGGCTCACGGCGCAGATCTTTTCATCCATGCATGATCATGGCAGCTCTTCTTCTGCTACTGCTACTGCTACTGCTACTGCTACTGCTACTGCTACTGCTACTGCTACTGCTACTGCTACTACTACTACTACTACTACTACTACTACTACTACTACTACTACTACTACTACTACTACTACGACACCGACTGATTCGCAGATACTATTGCGACAATGTTCTTGATGTCCTTGTCAACCCCAAAATCCGTAATTCCTAGGCCTTGGGCTGTTGGAACTGGGAAGCCTGTGAGTTTGATAAACGGGCTGTAGGTCTGCCTAGTCAGGGTCCGGGGTTTGGGTTCAGAGTTCAGGATCAAAAATTTAGGGTGTAGAGTTTAGGGGAACGGTTTAGGTTGCAAGGTTGGACATTAGCTCACCCCTTCTCGTGAACCGAGTTCTCGGCATCTGCGGCATTCCACGCTGCCTGGCACCTGTTGCAGGGCTTGGGGTCTAGGGTCTATTGCTTTAGGGTTCGGGGATTTGGGGTTTCGGGCTCAGAACTTAGACTCGGCTTTGAAGTTTCATGCACAGGTCTTGGGGCTGACAGTTCGGGCTTGGGATGCAAGAGTTTCGGCTTTGTTGAGTCTATCAGTTTATCAATTAGGCACTAAACAGCCCCCCGTTTCGAAAGCCTGATAATGATCACGACCACAGCTGTGTATGTTCGGAGCCGCTTGGCTGGAAGAGTCTTTGCAGCCTATCAGAGTGTAGGGCCTGCCGTGCACCTTGTCCAGGCTAAGGTCACGGATTCTATAGGTCCGCAGAGCTTTGATTGTTCTTGTTTTAAGCCGTCCTGCCGCTTTGAGGCTACGGTGCTTTGCCGTGGTCGCGGTGCACATGGTCAGGGCGGGAATGTAGTTGCCATCGAGGTGGGTAGGGTCCTCAGCTCCTGACCAACGAGCTGTACCACAACAGGGTTCCTGAGGCTCCTTGACCCTTTCTTCCCCCCGAACCCAAAGCTTCTGGGTTCAGGGAAGCCCTAAAAACCCAAAAGCAACCTAAGCCCATGGCCCGCAGGCCTCGAAGGTGGAAGCCTACACGGGCACACGTCAGGCCGAAGTTTCGGACACTTAGAATCCCAAGCATCCCTAGACCCAGGACCCTCGGCGAGCCTGTGGCTGAGAAGCAGGATCAGCAGTGCCGTGCGGCTGAGGCCACGGAAGAAGCCCGAGCCCTCCGCTGACCTGGTATGCAACCATGAGTCTGTTTACGGTCCAGGCTTTAGGGGTGAAAGGGTTTACCGGGTTTGGGGGTTCTAGGGCGTGGGAGTTTAGGGTTAAACGTTCGTATGTAAAGTGAAACTATTGACTAAAGTAGGATTGTGTCTTGCCGCTTTTTGCTATCACTGTTGCTTCGTGTTGCTTCCGCTAACTTCTGACCATTTGTTGCACTTTCTCATGTGCATGGTTTCTAGGGTTCTTCTTCTCGCTTGTTTTTACTTTGATGCTTTCTGCGAGAATCCAGCTGACTGGTTCTGCTTGCGTCATTATACTGAAAGCTGTTGCTGCTGTTGCCACCATCGCCGCCACAGCACCATCATCCGCTACAGCGTCGCATGTCGGGTTTCGGCTCGTTTTGCCCTTAGCTCGCAGGTCGAGTTTGTGCTTGGTGTTCGGGTTTGGCCTTCAGGGCTTGCATGGAGTATGGGACGACAGGCTGAGTTGGATCGTAGTAGCAGGCACCACTGCTGCGCAGCGCTAGTAACGCCACAACTGGGGCAGACGCAAAACTAAGAGCAGGAAAAAAAACAGAAGTATTGAATGGATGCGGCGGATTCGCAAAACGAAGCTTATCAGCAGAATCATAATCAGCCACATGAGAGGCTCGGCGTTCAGCCTTATGCATACGATCCTCGTCATCGCCATCCTGATCATCATCGTCGTCCTCATCGGAGTCGTCATCACAACAAGCAGCAGCACCGTCATCATCACGAAGATAATCGCGTATCTCCGTCGTCGTCATTACAAGAGTGAGAACCAAGACAAATGTCATGGAAAAAGGAAACCAGTCATGACGGTTCTCACCTCAAAATTGATCACCATACCCATGCAATACCTGCACACCTACGACCACCAAACGCGTCCTTCACAACATGAACAGCTGAGGCTCGGGTGTCGAGTCTAACACTCGAAATCTAAACCCTAAACCCTAAACCCCAATGCCGCATCGGGGGCCTTCGTCTCATGTTGATGTTTGGCTCAACGGTAGGGGCATCGTGACATGCTTTCGCTCCAAGCTCAAGGCCAGGAAGGGTTGGAGTTCAGGATGCAAGGAGGGTTCAGGGTTTTAAAGCCGCAGGGTTTAGGGTTAGGGCTTCTGGGTGTAGGGTTTATGGTACTATAGAGGCTTAAATAATTAACTACAAGGCAAAGGCCCTTTGGCAGCCTATGGCCAGATACACTTGGGACTAGCATGCGGGGAGAAGTGGGATGTCCCACAACTGTGAAGACGCGTAATGTTACACGCTGATCGCACGGTCATATCTTCGGTAAACCTCTGAAAGCAAAGTTTATGAGGCGGTTAATTCAGCGATGCAAACTCAGATGTACGTACAGTGTGTAGCCTTGTAAAAGCTTGATGCTTGTCTATACTAGCAAACACGTCTCAATTTCTCGAGCAGCATGCAGCGAGGGCGCGCAACCTGGAGCCCAGCCCCAACAAACTCTAAACTCTGCCTACATCTTGATCCTTTATTGGCCTTTTTCTACACGCTATCCGGCTTCAAAAGACCCTATCTCTAGGGTTCGGGATCCACAGTCTCTGCATTAGTGCCAGCTTGACCCAAGAAAGAGACCAGAGCTTCGGACTACCGTTTCCAATATGAGAGTTTCCGAAAAAATAGGGACCCTAATTTAGTACCCTAAATAGTAGGATCCTTATTATAAGGGTCCCAAAGTAAGGTACCCCGAATTTTCGGAAACTCCCATATGATTTGCTCTAAACAAGTGGACGTTGTCATGCCGCTTCGAAGCTGGCCTTACCCATTCAAAAGCAGTCACACCTTTTGCGAACCCGGAACGACAGTGCAATGTCCGCATGCATGCATGCATGCATGCATATATATATATATATATATGTACACACACACACATGCACACACACACACACACATGCACACACACACACACACATACATACATACATACATACATACATACATACTGTACATACATACATACATACATACTGTACATACATACATACATACATACATACATACATACATACATACTGTACATACATACATACATACATACTGTACATACATCCATACCTACATACATACATACAGAAATACATAGATACATACATACAGACAGACGGACAGACAGACAGACACGTAAAGCAAGCAAGTCTTGTCTTGTGTAGAATGCTGAAAGGGACACCAAAAGCCCACAGAAGAACCGCTGACACCCTACAAATCTAAATGCACAACTAAACCTGCCTTCCACATGTTGGCGTTCGCTCGGCCCGAGAAGAAAAGCTTTGTTTGTGACGCAAGGTAGCTCAGAACCCGAGGTGTATAGGAGTATTCCAAGGCTTGTCCATGGGGCAGTTCGTTCAACAGACACTTTTGGCTTTGAGGGGAGCGGGTCTCACAAAATCAAAAGAGGAGGGCAACCCTGAATCCTGCATGACACGACACCGCACTATAGGGGCCTTAATCATTATAAAATAGGGTTTTGGGGCCCATTACACAATCAAAATAATAAGGAACCCCCAAAATGTTATGGGTGATTATTTAGGCCCCGAAAGCAAACCCAAAGCCCTCAATCCCAAAGTGTCAACCTTAAACCTCATAAATCTGACCCTTTTTGCGCTATTGTCTTTGAAGCCGGAAAGAGCGCTTCGTCAAGCAAAGATGCCGGCTTGAGGGCTCAGAGTTAGGATTTGGGGTTTTGAGGTGAGGGCTTAGGTTTTCGGCTTCGGGTTTTGGGGTTGGCGACTGTAAGGGGGATGCCGAAGATATGCTGCAGATGCAACATGCGGCACTGGGGTTCAGAGCTCTACGCGAAGGCTCGACGGTAGGCTCTCCGGTCTCAGGAATCAAAACAGGCGCCACCTGGGAACCCGAGGATCTCAACGAGCTGATCCCGTCTGGTTTTGCAAGTGTTCTGTGGGGCTATATGGTGCCTAGCAGGGGTCTGATAAGGTGTCATAGGATTTGTGGTTTCGGGAAAAGGCTTTGGGTTTTTGAGGTTCGTTAGCGTCTTCGGTTCCGGGGTCCCCACGCGTTCTGGCGGTGCGGGGTTACGGTTCGGGTCGGGCTTGCGCACTGCGCAATGGTTTGCGAGCTTGGGGATTGGGGGCGTTCTGGCCTCGGTGTTGGTACAAAAGATGTGGTGTTGAGGGGCTCATATATGTACGGGCCGAGGGGTTCGGAGTGTCGGATGTTGGGGCTACGCCTGGGCTACAAGCTTTGACGCTAGGATTCCAGAATTGGCGATCAAGGCTTGGGTGTTGGGGCCTTCGGGGGGAGGGATTTCAAGTAGGGGCCTTGGCAATCGAAATAGGGCTGTGGAGGTGTGTGATACT